CAACTTGACCACAAGTTCATATGGTAGAAACATTTATTGTTCAGGTCAACTACTTGACCTCAAGTTCATGTGGTAGAAATATTTATAGTTCAGGTCAAACACTTGAGTTCAAGTTCATGTGGTAGAAATATTTATAGTTCAGGTCAACTACTTGACCTCAAGTTCATGTGGTAGAAACATTTATTGTTCAGGTAAAATTTCTACCACATGAACTTGAGGTCAAGTAGTTGACCTGAACTATAAATATTTCTACCACATGAACTTGAGGTCAAGTAGTTGACCTGAACAATAAATATTTCTACCACATGAACTTGAGGTCAAGTAGGTCAAGATTTTATATATCAACAACCCATTTCCTGTAGGTAGTATTACTACTCAGAAATAACTGTTGTACTTAATGTAAAGTTAAAACTAGTGAAAACTGTCTGTGTTGAATGGTGCAGCCTTCGAACTGAAGTTTGGATAGAACAGATAAATGTGAGATGTGTCACTTTGGAATAGAAGACATAATAGTTATAATATTATTCTGGCACTTTTTTTAGGCCTTTTTACATGATGACAATAGTAGAGATCTTAGAACAGGTGAAGGTATATTGGTACTGTTGTAACAAATTTCAGAAACTTGTGTTCAACATATTTTTGTTCTGGAGGTTCCTCTGTTATGGTTTACTAATTTATTAGTTTTGTATGGACTCAAGAACTAGCTTTCTGGTGTATTTTGACTTAGTTACAAAAACCTAACTCTAAAAAACTCCTGAAATTCACTTCTCTTATGATAGTTTTTTTTTTTTTTTGAGGATATGTTATTTGTCTTATTTAAAGTTAAATATAGGTTATGATAAAACAGCAAGGTCTGGTTAGCTGGAATTTTTTATGTTTCTAATTTGTGTTTCACAGTAGAGATGATCTTTCACAAGAACCTATATAATCTTACAGGACTGTATGAGTGTACGAGATATTAGACAAGTGCTCAGAGAAAGTGCTCATCTACTTGGAAGAAGAGACTGTCACATGTTAGGTGCCTCAGCACTTAGAGGGTACGTTAAGCCTAATTCACTTGTGCATTCTAAGAGTAACAGTCAAACTTCACTAATCAATGAATATCATATGTCTGACAGATTGTTTCATTGATCTAAAAATAGTCTTTTATTTGAAAGTTAAAATGTAAAATCTGTCTCTTGAAAGGTTTCAAACATTTTTATTTAATTGTTTAAGGTTATCAGATACTTGAAAGTTATTTCATTTAATTAGAAATAGATTATTTAAAAAATTTTTTTTGGTGAATAGAATTGTAATTGTCGTTATTTTTATCATCCCTATGATAGTTTTCTTTTTAAGAAAGATTGAAACCACTTATTTCCGAGTCTAACAAGTTTATCAGGTCAAATGTGGAGTAAACGTCACACTGTGATACTTAATGTTTCATATGTGGTTATACTGTGATACTTAATGTTTCATATGTGGTTATATTGTGATACTTAATGTTTCATATGTGGTTATATTGTGATACTTAATGTTTCATATGTGGTTATACTGTGATACTTAATGTTTCATATGTGGTTATATTGTGATACTTAATGTTTCATATGTGGTTATACTGTGATACTTAATGTTTCATATGTGGTTATACTGTGATACTTAATGTTTCATATGTGGTTATACTGTGATACTTAATGTTTCATATGTGGTTATATTGTGATACTTAATGTTTCATATGTGGTTATACTGTGATACTTAATGTTTCATATGTGGTTATACTGTGATACTTAATGTTTCATATGTGGTTATATTCTTCACCTTAGGTAAACTAGAGCTTGTAGAATATTAGGTTGTTTTTTTTCTGACATTGTCTCCTTTAATATTCTTGCAGTGATGGAATCCATGATGGAATAGAGTGGTTGGTAGAATGTGTTAAAAGAAATATTGTACGGCCTGCAAAACGATTGGACGATTCATAATATATTAGGTTTCAAGATTCTTTTGGTGTGAAGAGAGATAGTTGTTGGTTTCACTTGTCACATGTTCACATTTTGTTGTGTAATTTTTTTAACATGATCAATAAAATGAATAATCAGATTCGCTTGTTATAAATAGAAACTTAAGCTGCATGACTCTGTACTTAATTAGTTATGAATTATTACGATTAATACCAAGAAATGGCTTTAAAAATGCAGTAGGCTGTATTCGGAGATATTGTTTTTAACTGTGTTTTGTAAGAAGTTTCACTGGGAGATAACCTTTTTAATGTTATATAAATAGTTTTATAAGTAAGTCATAGACCTTTCACAGTGTTGTGCACTCAAACTTAAACCAATAATTACATCATTCTGTTTCTCTACATCATCTTTGTTTCTGTAATGCCTCTATTCCAGTGTATCATTTTATATCAATATTGAAACACATTTTCTAGAGTTTGTAGGGGGTCTGTGAAACAGTTCTGAGTTCAAGAAATATGCTCAACAACATTTCTTTTTACCAGTACCATTTGAAAATTATTACATGAATATTGAATAGCAAAACAGACTGTAGAAGGCTCCACTAACGAGGTGTTCATTCTTCGCTGTCCTCTTCTGATTAGTGTAATAACAGCTAACCTTTTTATATAACTTACTTTTGCAGTACTAAATCTTTGTTTAAAACAAAGTAAAGAGCCACAGTTTCAACGAGGGTACCAATTCCTAAACTTATGGGTGGGCTACAGAAGTTATTGGGAAACACAAGCATATCTTTTTTTTAAATTGTTTGTAAATAATGCCCCTAAAATGTTTTTCAACAAACAAAATATAAGAACACTTACTAGACTTTCCTCAGATACAGAGTGGAACAAAGGTCACTATGCAGATGGTATTTTATACTATAAAGAAGATTAGAAAGACAACTGAAAAAATTAATTATTGTTTGTAGAGCAAAATGATAAACATTAAACTACATTCTTAATGAAACAACTGTATAGTCACTCCCTTCCCCAATATTCCCGGATGAGGATAGGTCCCAAAAATTTCCTGGGTACTCAGATGTGTTGTGAGTTGGGAAACTCTGAACTTGGATGTCAAAACAGGAACGTCATCAGTAAACCATCACAAAAAAATATTTGTTAAATATGAACTTTAAGGTGTTTTTAATATGACAGTCTTTTCTTAGTGGATGTAAACAGGAAAACTTAAAAGTGTGGGCACTGGAGTTATTGATACAATATCATCATTGAAAATAAGTGTTGAAATGAAAGTGGCTTCATGTGAAGGATGGCTTTCATGATTTTTAGTAGAACTTTTATGTTTAGTGAGAAAATGTTCTTATTGAGTGGCATGAACATTGTCATGACAAACAGAAACAGTCCCTTGCTCTTTAAAGAAGACCTACATGTAAAATAAGGTTGCCTGAAGTCATCCGCCCAAGGTCATCATCTAACTGGCATGTCAGAAGCCATCTTGAAAATTCAGACACACCAAATCAAGTGATTAACTAGGAGCTGGTGGCAAGTTTTTACTGGCCTACACCAAGTACTAAATAAAAAAGATTACGTATTCTGTGTAGGCTTCGAGCTTCTTTGTTAATATTAATTTAGACGTTCCGAATGAAAAAACATTATTCTTCTCAGCCGAGGAGTTTCGTGAAGAAATGTTAACTCTGAGTTAATGGTTCGGCTACAGTACTAGTAAAGTAACATGTAATCAGTTTCTCACAACAAACACAAGTAGACTTCCTGTTCTATACACGTGTGTGTTGGTCACGCATCAAATTGTCAACAATTACGATAAATGTTCCAAAACAGTATAGGAAAGAAGAGTTTTAATTGGAGGTCGTGTATAGTTGTTTATAGCAGACTTAAATATACATACAAACAAACGACGAATTTTGTTTCGTTTGTATTTGGATCTCTCAAGCAGAAAATGTTAACTAATACTGTAGAAATAATTACCTCCATCAGAACTTGTTCAGCAATAACTTTCCTGTCATAACATCTGTAAGGCATGTCATACCGTGAAGCGTGTTTTCTTACCTGTCCTAACGTTTCGTCCTATACACATGTGTTTGTACAACAGACAGTTGCCGTCCATACCACTTTACTCATCAAAAATTTATTTTGTTTATTTGTTAGTTATCGAAAAACCACATCGGGCTATTTGCTGTATCCCGCGGGGAATCTAACCCCCGATTTTAGTGTTGTAACATATTGCTGACCCACCGGGGAAGATATAAAATATGATGTTTTGTCTTTGTCGAGAAAGGCGATGATAAAGTTAGTTCATTTGTCAATCACCTTGTAAATTTAATACAATTCTTGAAGGTTTTTTCACGTCGCACACAAGGAACAAGAATGTAAGTTAGGTTTTACAAAATCATGTTATTTTTTTAGTAACAATTAAGATACAATCAAACATTGATAAGTTAGAAGTTTATTTATAAGTACATATAGTAAATTTAAATAAGCAAGAATTAACTACTCCTTCAGTTCTGGGCCGGGGATGACTGAGAGATTAACGTTTCAAACTGTGGGTACAAAGTTCGCGTTTCAATCTGAAATGGCTGAACTTCAGAACGTCAAGTCTAACATTTTAGTTGTCAGAATGGCAGAAGAATTTTAGCAAAACTAAACACCGTATTATCAACGTTTTTTACAAGACACGCTAGAAAATGCTTTCCAGTTTAAGTTGTGGTAATATAACCCGTTAGAAACTGATTTCCAGGTTAAGTTGTGGTAATATAACCCGTTAGAAACTGATTTCCAGGTTAAGTTGTGGTAATATAACCCGTTAGAAACTGATTTCCAGGTTAAGTTGTGATAATATGACCCGTTTAAAACTGATTTCCAGGTTAAAATGTGATAACTCAAATTAAAAGCTAGCGATGGTGAAATACTCTTAGGCAGCTGATACAGTGATTTGTCAGAATTGTATCTGATGACTTTATTATTAAACATATCTGTGTCTGTCAATTTATCAATGTATTGCTATATATTAAGATGTAGTTAATGATTGTTACAAATAAATTAGCTAAACAAAAACAGATGTATACGTTACTGTAAATAAATCACAAAACTTAAAAAATATCTTTGGTTAGTTGGCTTTGTCCTTTATGTCCATCCATTTGACATACGCTGAAGGACCCTCTAGTGTGCGAGAAGTGAAACTACGACTTATCTATGAAAAATAGTACAATGCCCCATTGTATTCAAGACGTAAAACCACGACTATTTGGTAAAAAAAAAACAAAAAACGGTATGATGCCTCCTGGTGTCCGAAAAGTGAAATCACAACGTATTCCTGGAAAGCAGTACGATGCCTCCCCGAAGATCGGTAGGATGGCCATAGGTCTGAACTCTACTTCTCAGACTCCATCTCGATGGAATCCACAAAGATGAATTTGAACAGCGTCGTCTGTTTGTACAGACGTACTGCTATTTGAAGAGATATCCAACCAATTGGACAAAGTCTAGGCAGAGCAACAAATAAGAGAACATCAGTATGCAAAATGTAGGAAAAAACAAGAGACTATGGTTTGGTTTACAATTTATATTTTTTCTATTTATAAGGATATTATATTCGTGTTTTTTGTACAAGGTATAGATGTCGTTGTTCTTAGCGGTCTTGTGGCGTGAAATAAAACAGGTATTTTTAAGAGTAGTTTAATACAAATGCCTAGTTTTACATAAGAATTTCTTATAAACTTTGAAAATACAACCACGCAGCTCGACCTCCCAGTAAACTCGTACTCTACATATCGTACGAGAAAAAGTGATTAATGAAGGATTAAAACGGCGGGAAAGTTGCCATAACTTTGGAGAAAAATGTAATAATTAAATTATCACAAAGACAAATAATTATAATTACATCTTATTAATTAATGTTTAATTTAAAACAAATTGAACGTCGCAGAATTACTTTAAAATACTTGATCATAAGAACATCAAAGTCCGACTCGAATAAATGAATCTGACCTCTAGAACGTATTTAAAACAGTGTCTTATGGGATTGGGTGGAATTTTCTCATAAACGACCAAAAAAAAAAGGTGTCCACATTTAAAACCACACAACCTCCTTAGCATAAAGTATAGACTAATCTTGAGATAAGGTCAATTAACTGGAACTGTTTGCCAGCTGTAGAAGAGATTGAAATTATCACTGTATAGTTTACGTGAGTGAAAGTTCCATCATTGTGTGGACCTAGGTCCTGTTGTGACGTAATCAAGCTAAACTTTAATATGATTGTCGTTAATAAAACATGGCGGCTACTCGCACAGTGAACTGACCTGGATCTCACGAGGACGTCACAGATTAATCCAAACAATATTACATAAAACAAACATTCTCACCAGGTGTCACTATAAACCGTCTTTTTCCTCCCAAAGTGTCACCTGGTGTTATCTGCCTGTTTTGAAAGACCAACCCACACGTGCAGATCTTCTCGCATGACTGGAATGACATTGTTCATTTTTCCACCACCTGGCAAGTTAGTCCCTATTTCACCTTTCATCTGATGCGCTTGTTCTGGAGTGCTTTTAGTAACCCCTGTTTTTATAAGGTTCATTACCCCTGAAATGACTCATTAATATAACATAAAGAACAAAATCCAACAGATTTTTCCCCTACAAAAAAGTTGAGCCTGTAAATAGGTTTAGCAACTTATGAACTAAACGACAACTATCGGTACAGAAGCACGAGAGAATGGTTCTGTCATTGACAAGAATACACTCTGACATCTGGTGGTGTTGCGAACACAACGGTTAAATTCCCGAGTAAAAAAATATTCCTATTACAGCTGTTTATAACTAGTATTCAGATTGCATTAGAAGCGTTCAGACAGAACTTTATTGATCAATACATTTTTGACAAGTTTCTTTGTTTTAGCGCTAAGCTACATAAAAGGTCATCTGGACTCCACCTTGGGGAGGGGATTGAGCCTTGTTTCGACATATAAATACTAAATTTTATTAATGGAGTTTACTTCACAACGTCGTCAAAAAAGCTAGTTGGGTGCTAGGGCTAATGCCGAGCCTAAAACAGTTACATCGTTATTATCGCTAGAGCATTTAACGGGTTAGTAAATATCCGTAGTCTTATTTTATATTTGTATTGTTTGTTTGATGTTATTTTTATACCTAATTTTCTGTATTCAGGTTTGTTGTGTTAAGAGCCTATTACTGTTACTATATATATATATAAGCAGTCCTACAGTGAGTTCGTGGCGTGGGTATTTACACGTACTTCATCAGGTATTAAATGTGGACGTATGACCTCAAGTACTAACGTTTCAACCACATGAACTTGAGGTCAAGTAGTTGACCTGAACAATAAATGTCAGCTGTTTCTAAGTTCATTTATAATAAGCTTCTTAACGTGAATAACACGCATGGTCAGGAATTTGTAAGTTTGTTTAGCTGTGGCCAACACATGTATCAAAAACCAGTTAAGTCAGTAGTTTAGTGAACACAGTATTAAGTCAGTAGTTTAGTGAACACAGTATCAAGTCAGTAGTTTAGTGAACACGGTATTAAGTTTGTAGTTTAGTGAACACGGTATTAAGTCAGTAGTTTAGTGAACTATTCTGCTGAAGTAGCACTTTTTAATACTTTTCCTTTCATTATATCAAAATATTCCCAGTCCAAAACAAATATAATTTTTTTTTTACTTTCAGAGAAAATGGTTTGTAGTGAAACACTTCAAGGCATACCTCTGCTGATTGTAGCTAATAAACAGGATATAACAGTAAGTAACTTATCTGGCATTTATCAGATTTCATTTTGATGACTAAAATATTTTAAACAACAGTTTTTACTTGCACTAACAATGTTAAAAAACGTCTGTAATGTCATATTTTCTTTTTGTTTAGGTGGTGCATTTCACCGTGTGACAGAGATTTAATGATTAACACCCTCAAAATATAGATAATGTTTTTCTTTTTTAATTTTCCCCCTAGTGACACAGTGGTAAGTTTGTAGGCCAAAAATTAGTGAACACGGTATTAAGTCAGTAGTTTAGTGAACACAGTATTAAGTCAGTAGTGTAGTTTAGTGAACACGGTAAAACTTAATACCGTGTTCACTAAACTACTGACTTGATACTGTGTTCACTACACTACTGACTTAATACTGTGTTCACTAAACTACTGACTTAATACTGTGTTCACTAAACTACTGACTTAATACCGTGTTCACTACACTACTGACTTGATACTGTGTTCACTAAACTACTGACTTAATACCGTGTTCACTAAACTACAAACTTAATACCGTGTTCACTAAACTACAAACTTAATACCGTGTTCACTAAACTACAAACTTAATACCGTGTTCACTAAACTACTGACTTGATACT